TGCTGGTAACGAGATTGAACGAGGTATTGGGATACCGACGATCGAATCTCGGGCAAGTAACATACCGATTAACAAAGGGAATTGTATACGGGATTGATTGAATCCTCGACATCGTGGTTCATCCGATGAGATCATCGAGGAGCATGTGGGAGCCAACATGGGTATCCAGATCCCGCTGTTGGTTATTGACCGGAGAGTGATCTCGGTCATGTCTACAGGTCTCCCGAACCCGTAGGGTCTACACACTTAAGGTTCGGTGACGCTAGGGTTGTAGGGATATGTATATGCAGTAACCCGAATGTTGTTCGGAGTCCTGGATGAGATCCCGGACGTCACGAGGAGTTCCGGAATGGTCCGGAGGTAAAGAATTATATATAGGAAGTGCTATTTCGGACATCGGGACAAGTTTCGGGGTCACCGGTATTGTACCGGGACCACCGGAAGGGTCCCGGGGGTCCACCTGCCCCGGGGGGCCACATGGGCTGTAGGGGTGTGCGCCTTGGCCTACATGGGCCAAGGGCACCAGCCCCAAGAGGCCCATGCGCCTAGGGTTCAAGAAGGGAAGAGTCCCAAAGGGGGAAGGCACCTCCAAGGTGCCTTGGGGAGGAGGGATTCCTCCCTTGGACGCCGCCCTCCTAGGAGATTGGATCTCCTAGGGCCGGCGCCCCCCCCCCCCTTGGCCCTCCTATATATAGTGGGGAGATGGAGGACTTCTCACCCCACGCCTTTGGTGCCTCCCTCTCCCTCTCCAACACATCCTCCTCCTCTATAGTGCTTGGCGAAGCCCTGCCGGAGTACTGCAGCTCCACCACTACCACGCCGTCGTGCTGCTGCTGGAGCCATCTTCCTCAACCTCTCCTTCCTCCTTGCTGGATCAAGAAGAAGGAGACGTCACGCTGACCGTACGTGTGTTGAACGCGGAGGTGCCGTCCGTTCGGCGCTAGGATCTCCGGTGATTTGGATCACGTCGAGTATGCCTTCCTCATCCCCGTTCTTTGAACGCTTCCGCGCGTGATCTACAAAGGTATGTAGATGCAATCCGATCACTCGTTGCTAGATGAACTCATAGATGGATCTTGGTGAAACCGTAGGAAATTTTTTGTTTTCTGCAACGTTCCCCAACACATAGTTATGAGAATATCTAGGTATGATCATGTATATAGGCATCACGTCCGAGACAAGTAGACCGACTCCTGCCTGCATCTACTACTATTACTCCACTCATCGACCGCTATCTAGCATGCATCTAGAGTATTAAGTTAAAAACAGAGTAACGCCTTAAGCAAGATGACATGATGTAGAGGGATAAACTTATGCAATATGATGAAAACCCCATCTTGTTATCCTCGATGGCAACAATACAATACGTGCCTTGCTGCCCCTACTGTCATTGGGAAAGGACACCGCAAGATTGAACCCAAAGCTAAGCACTTCTCCCATTGCAAGAAAGATCAATCTAGTAGGCCAAACCAAACTGATAATTCGAAGAGACTTGCAAAGATAACCAATCATACATAAAAGAATTTAGAGAAGATTCAAATATTGTTCATAGATAGACTTGATCATAAACCCACAATTTATCGGTCTCAACAAACACACTACAAAAAGAAGATTATATCGAATAGTTCTCCACAAGAGAGGGGGAGAACATTGTATTGAGATCCAAAAAGAGAGAAGAAGCCATCTAGCTAATAACTATGGACCCGTAGGTCTGAGGTAAACTACTCACACTTCATCGGATGGACTATGGTGTTGATGTAGAAGCCCTCCGTGATCAATGCCCCTCCGGCGGAGCTCTGGAACAGGCCCCGAGATGGGATCTCGTGGATACAGAAAGTTGCGGCGGTGGAATTAGGTTTTTGGCTCCGTTTGATATTCTTTTTCTTCGAAACCCTAAAACAGGCAAAAAACAACAATTCTGGGCTGGGCCTCCGGTTAATAGGTTAGTCCCAAAAATAATATAAAAGTGGATAATAAAGCTCAATAATGTCCAAAACAGTAGATAATATAGCATGGATCAATCAAAAATTATAGATACATTGGAGACGTGTCATTATGAGACAAGATCCTAAGGCCAAAAGACATTGCATGTCACTGTCTTAGATTGAGAATCGAAACATGTCCGGGAAGCAGGAATGCATCTCTACCAGATGTCAGAATGAGCTAACAAGTGAACCCATTGACCTAATTTTCTGGCTCCACCCTGCTCTCTGGTACTGGTACCCCTCCCTCCCCGAACCTCTACGGTCTAGTGTTAGAGTTGTGTCGAATATTGTATACAAGTGAGATTACATTTGGACTATGAGTTGTATTGTGTTTAGATAGAATATGGAGTCGTGTCCTAATATATAGCGGGGGTAGACACACGATGTAGCCTACGCCAACATAATAGCACGGGAACGTAGGGGAAGCCGACGGCATGTGCCGGCGTCCAGGGCGGCCGGGTGCGGTATCGTAGTGGTGTCATGGGAGGAGTGCCCATAGTCAAGCTCCGGGGATGTAGCCATATCGGTAAACCTAGTTAGCAAATATAGGTGTCATGCCTCGTGTGATTCCTTGGTCCTCGGATGATCGACGGTATGCCTCGGATTTATTCTAACAAGTGGTATCATGAGCTAGCTTGTTCAGAAGCGGCGAGAGTTGATCTAGAGGAGGAAGAATATCGACAGAAATCTGCATGATGCAGTCGTGATGTGGGACGAAGGATGTCGCCGAGTTGCGATCTAAAGCAGAGTTGGTCGGCTTGCAATCTTTGGTGAAGCAATTGGAAGCAGTCAAAGTTCCCGACGGAAGATACATGTGCGAGAGCTAGACGTGCGGCGATCGCGGATCGATCGGGCGAGCGTTAGAGGCAGCGGCAGCGGCGCACCGCGCACGGGCAGGCAGGCTGCTATCGGTCGATCAATGGCTACAGAAACCCACATGGGCAGCGGCCCAGGTGGCGAAAAGCCGCACGGCTGCAGGAGGTGGAGTCACGTACACGTACTGGCCAAATCGACGAATCAGGTCGGGTACAGCAGGCGAGAGCAATCAGTACGGGATTTGTTTGAGAGAAAAAAGGAGGACCGAGTCCTCATGTACCACGCAAGGCTACGGTGCAAGGTTGATTTAAAATGCTGCACATGAGAGCTTTGAGTTGACGAGGCGCGGGGTGGCACGTACAATCATCATGGAGTCATGTTGAAGGTGGAGCTGAAATTTGGAAGACTTCACTCGGTGCTGATTAAGGGGCTACGACGAAAGAGCTCAGACAGTCGAAGTCTATTCTCGCAGAAAAAGCGAGGGACACGTAATTTGGACTAGAGTCCAGTGGTCTGATGGAAGCGTGAAACTCGTCATCGGTCGGTGATGATCGGTGATACTCTGTAGTGGGGGTTGAGTTATGTGGGTTCGCGACCCTTGAGTCTCGACCGGGACAGCGGAGGCTCGACGCGTTAATAGCGGCGAGGCATGCGGTATGCATGGTACATGGAGACGGACCAAGACTCTGGTGGTCATACATGTGGTGAGACAACTGCGAATGTGACTCGGGGTGACTACAAGCAACGGTGAAATTCCTTCAAGTTTCAGACAGACGGTCAAGAAAGGAGCGGTGATGTTGAGTTTAGATAACTCTTATGTGTGACACCCAATATGTTAGTTGTTCACTTCCATACAGATCAGTGATCAGTGCGTGATGGCGTTGGACGGATACTTTGAAAGTTGGGAGCACAAACTAGAGTAACAAGAAACTTAATTTTGCTCGAGTATTAACTGTGGTCAAGAAAAGAAGGGACTACAATTAATATAAGTTGCTGGCGGAGTCATATGGAGTCTTTGGAGTAGCAGTGGTGCTTATGGGATAAGCTCGAGTCCAATGTACATGGAAGTTCGACGCATGGACGAGTTCAAGATGGTGAAGAATATTCACCAAGGTGGAGTTTGTTAGAGTTGTGTCGAATATTGTGTGCAAGTTAGGTTACAGTTGGACTATGAGTTGTATGATAGGATATGGAGTCGTGTCCTAATAGGACACTTGTATCCTAGGCCTTTCATATATAGCGGGGGTAGACACACGATGTAACCTAAGGCCCCGGGATGTAGCCATATCGGTGAACCTCGTTAACAAATCTCGATGTCATGCCTTGTGTGATTGCTTGATGTCTCGTATGTTTGTTTGGTCTTCAGATGATCGATGGTATGCCTTAGATTTATTCTAACATCTACTGCGCCAACATCGATGCATGCCGGACCCGCAGGAGAAGCGCAAGAATCAAGGCAGAATGGCATGAAGAATTAAGTGCGTGTGTAAGCTAAACATAGTTCTGATGGTTAGGTTTCATATGGTGCGAGCAGCCCATTCGGGTTCATAGTTCATAGCTTGGGACGGGTGATCGCATTTTCTAGAATTATCTTGGGTTTCTGGTGTAACTCTTTCAACGGTAGTAAGATAGTCAACTACGAGACGTCTATGGCGACCCATGGTCTGCCGGCTTTGTCTCTCGGATATACTCATAAGTTAGGATCTGTGTGCGTCCATTGAGATGAGCATGGATGTGTGTATGCTAGCGTTTGCGTTCGTATTGTGTTTATAAAAAGAAATGTGTGGTGCGCAAGAAAATCTTTTTGTTCGTGCAAATCAAATCAAAGTTAAACAACTGTAATCTTGCACTTGGCACTTTTGATCGATTGGCACAGCATGCACACTATTTTTATTATTACACATGCTTTTTTTCCCACTATTTTGATTACTCCCTCCGTCTCAAAATTTGTGTCTTAGATTTGACTAGATACGGATGTATCTAATACTAAAACGTGTCTTGATACATCCGTATTTAGACAAATCTAGGACAAGAATTTTGGGACGAAGGGAGTATTACACATGCTTTTTATTATTATTACACATGCTAAGCGAGTTGAAGTGGAACTAGTACATAGATAGGCACTGGGACTACTGTGTGGATCACGGAGCAACAAGTTACTGAGAGGGGAACACGCCGAAACGTAGCTAGCTATGGTAGCTAGTTACCGGCGCCGGCGACGTCCACTTGGTGCGTGCACTTTGGGCCGGGCCAACCTTCGTGTATATCCAGGCAAACGTAGCGGCCAGGGCCGACCTGGTCGCAGTGCTGGCACGCGCTGGCGCACTGCGCCACCGTGTCGCGGCAGAGGCAGGCCCTCGGGATCACCATCAGGCAGTGGGTGTCGTCGCAGCATGCCCACGGCCTCTCATCCTCCTCGAGTGTTGTTGCATCACCACCAAGACCTGTACCACATGGTCAAGAGATCAATGGATGGTATCTACGTACGAACCGTGCAAGTTATGCTTTCATGCTCAGTCGTATGTACCTTGGCCGTCGCTCGGGAGGCGAATGGCTGCCACCTCGCCGGAGGCACCGGTAGGGCGGCCGGCGACGACGAGGGCCGCCCCGAGCGAAAGCACCAGCAGGATGTGGGCGACGGTTCTCTCCATGGCTGCACCGCTCGAAGGCAAATATTTGCTAGCTGTGCAGTGTACTGTTGCCTTGCGAAGCTTGTGGCAGGGCGGTCTCTATATAGCACCGTCCGGCGGACAGATCTCGATGGGCGGCACGGAGGCGAAGGCGTGGCGCTTAGCCACTCACCACTGCATTTATTTATTTATTTATTTTGCGGGTCTACCACTGCATAATTGATGTAGAGATAAGTCTATTCTACCCCTTGATGGTCACGTGCATGCTTGCCTTAACCGATGAATTACGTATTAGGGTTCTTCTGAGTTTTAACTCGATGCACGATAGTTAATCAGTGAGAGACTCAGACTCAATCGGCGGTCAAACCGGATCTGGTCGCATCATCTCCCAAGCGCGATTCCATTTCGATACATTGTACAGTCAACTAGATAGAGCATCGGCCTATGGCAATACAAAACATGGAGCGTCTGTTCTTCAGGCGACCCAGGTTTTTTGTCACAGCCAGTAGCTAATAGCTAGGTTCCAATACTATTTTTTTTCAATACGGGAATCAGCAAGAAAGGGGATCATGGAATAGAACCAGGGGACATGAATGAAGAATTACAAAGAGGCAAAGGAGTGTACCCTCTGTCCTCACCGTCCATTCTTGCATCAAAGTTAATGGCTTAATGCAAGAAAATCTATCTTTTTTTCCCTCTCAAATAAAAGAACTTTGTGATCTTTCCATTGAGCAGCTAATGGAAAGAGGATGTCCGGATGAAAAAAAAGAACAATTGAGCTTGAAACTTTGCAGATCCACATCACACAAGTACTATCATGTGCAGAAAAGTTTCGGATTTTTAGCACAACATAATTTTCTAAAAATGATATGATTCATTCAGAATTTGAAATTTGACAATACATGTTTCATAAAAATATGAAAAATATTTTGTATAATGAATGACACTTGTGTATACTTGATCTGCAAAGTTTTAGGTGAGGAGTTGTTTCAGCTTTCTGCTTTTCCGTGTTTGTGACACTTGTGGATAGCATGAATCTTGACACAAACTGAATGATCTAGATAAAGGGTATACACTAGTATGCGGGTACAAAACAACTGTTTTAGCCGAGGAGCCATTTCAGCTTTCTGTCTTCTGTGCATGTGATGTGAGTTTTGCTACAGCTACGAGGGATTACGGGCCAAGCGGGGTTACGGAGTGGGAACGTGCAAATGTGGAGGTTTATAACTGCAATTAGGTGAAGAAGGGGCCCACTCCCTGAGATCATTCGATCGTGTAGTGTCATTAAATTTGTAAATGTTCATCAAATCTGTAAAAAAATTGTTCAAAATGGTCAGATATTTAAAAAATGATTTTTTGGATAATTCACGAGTTTAACAAATGTAAATATTGATTAGTAGAAATGTTATGAGAAAATAAAAGTGCATCCGTATGCAATCTTTACAACCAAAACATAATGAATGTTCATTAGCTTTTACATGCGCCCAATCATAAAAATTCCGCTCCGTGTAAATTTTGCCCACCCAAACAAGTTGTCCGTGCCTCCTCCTCATCACTCTGTCGCTGGGTCCTCCGCAGCCTTTGCCTCTGCTACCTCTGTCGGCAAGTGCTTCAACATGTTTGCATGGACGGCTTGCACGACCTTTGCACATCAGGATCCAACTCGTCCATCTTGATGGCCAACATTTTGGTTTGCTCCGAAGCGGCCGCGGCCTCAACCCTCCTCTCTTCGAGCTTGGTCTTTTTTTCTTTGAGCTTTGAATTTGATTTTCAAGGTTGATCTTTTACTCCCTCGCCACCATGAACATATCAAACCTCTCCGCCTTCTTTTTCTCCTTGATGCCATGGCGATTGGCACATGCCTCCTCCTTATTGTCCATGAAGCCCTCAAGCTTCCGTGTCATCTTGTCCACCGCCCCTTCTCGCAAACCTTCCCTGGCATTACATCTGATCTGTGGGAATTTGGAACCTCAACGTGTCCGCGGATATTTGTGCCACTATGTTGGATGGCAAAAAAGATCCGAACACATCGGTCCAAACGTTTGCAGGAGTTTTAAGGCACGAGATGCCCTAGGTATGCAGTGCTCAAAGGGGACAACTAGCTGAGATCACCTTAATCTGAGGTACAGACTTACGAACTAACACTGCTTAATGCTTACAAATAAGTAGATTACCCACATACACCATGCATACAAGCACACAGTTTATCACATCATTATTCAGCTACTTCTGCCTCGGAGACGTCCGGGAAAATAGTAAACAACGCTGACACACTAATAAGGGATTCATGCATATCCCAGTTACAGACTCCAAACTGAAACTTGAAAGCAAATAACTCGATTCACCATGAACAGCGAACTCATGATCACCAGCCGGAGCTGAACGATCGACCGACACCATGCATGCATGTTTGAGTTAGAAGTCCAGGTCCGACCATATGATGTCCACCTGGCCGAGGCTGGTGTCAAGATAGAAGTTCTTCCAGATATGGGAGGAGGCGCCCACCTCGCTGTCTCAGCAGGTGCATTCATCGACCACCTCGGCGTTTATGTAAGAATTGTGAGGGTTGAAGATGCGTATCGACCCGCCGCACCATGCCCGCCCGCGTACCACTCCAAGGACAGCGACACCACGAACTCGTCGTCGCTGTGGAACTGGCCGTCGCCCGCCGCCGGCCCGCCGCCCCCCTCTCCCTGCTGGAATCCGTTTAGCGTCATCACCACCGGGACGTTCTGTCGTAGCTTAGTCACCAATTCTTTCGACCAGTAATTATCTTCCATACTGCTACAACTACAACAACCCAATTTTGTATAGTTGCCATAGTACTATAGTTGCCATAGGAAACAATAATGGTTCGAGCATAGGATATTACAGGCTTGACAACAATGATGGTAATGTAATATGCGAACAGATGCAGCAACGCGAGAGAAAAACAAGGTATGAACTACGAGGGAAAAACACGAGAAAGAGTTGTGCCTAGATGAATGAAAGCGATACAGGGAAATCACACCAGTCTTAATAGGATCAGAGCGAATAGAAATGTACACGGTTGGAATGACTTTGCTGTATGATGAGAATGCAACATGGTGAACAACGAACGTTAACAGAAGGGAACGACAGATATGACAGAAACGAGAGATATGCAACAGTCAATGATTGAACAGATAAACTATCGACATAGAGCACGAAAGTAAACTGCTGAAGGTTATGCAGTAAAGTAGAGTGTGAACCAGTGGTGCTCAATGGCGACAAATGGATTTGGTAGACCAGTCCGCCCTTCTGCCAAAGGACTACGTCTGGTTGAAGGGGTTGTGATTTAACACAGAAGATAAACTCTCTTTGCCCTATTCTCCTTCAACTAGGAGCTAATCAGACTCCAGTTGATTTCACTCGTGGTAGATACTTATCGGTGATCTCCAAACATTCGACAGACTTCTTCACGAACCACAATGACTCTTGGTTGCTGAAGATCTTGCTCGGTGAAGACAATGAATCTTCAACACTCGAGCCGACAACTATCCGTCTAGAGAGTGCGCCACTCTCAAGATTAATAGGTACAAGAACTCTAAACTCAGAACTACTGTGATGCTCAACCACTGTCTAAGTTTGGGCTCTTGATTTTTTATCTCTCGGTGGATCTTAAAGTCAAATCACTCGGAGAGGGGATGCTCAATCAATCTTCTCAGAAATCTTAAGCGGAGCAGCCAATGGGCAACATTGGAGTCGGGTGGCTATTTATAGCCACAACCTTCCCTAGAGGGAAAAGACCAAATTGGACATGTGGAGCAGCCAATGGCCGAACAACATGAGTCCAATGGTCAAAAATTGAGCACAACGGTAACATTCCTTGCAGAGTAAGGGATGCTAACTCCTCCGTTCGAAAGATATCTCCTGTAGCACGAAGAACAACATCTACTGCTGCCAGGTAATCATTCGAAACATAAAGAGATTTCTCCCAGTCTTGCATAGGTTTTGGGATAAGCATCACAACGGATCTAAGTTTCGAGAACCTATACCCCTCTTAATAGTACAGAGGTCCTATGACTCAAATGAATGAAAGAAGAACAACGAAATGAATACTATGTTTTCATTTTGTCTTCGACTTCCACTCACTGCAGTCAAATTTCTTCGAACAGAATCTCTGAGCCCAGGGGCGGAGTCAGGATTTGAGTATAGGGGGGGCCAAGAGACGACGAGCCGAAAAACTAGTCAACATCGTAGATGTATTCAATGCTTTTGATATACTCCATTGTGGAATGGAGGGGGTTATCTTACAATCAGCAGGGCAATGCAAATAGGTTACATTTGTTTTTTTTAAATCAGGTTCTTGACTACCCAGAAAATCAAATGTGTTATTTATAGACAAAAAATATACTGTTTTCATCTTCATGACTTACAAAAACAATTTATGAAAAACTAAATCTAAACTATATATAACCAATGAATCATGACTGATTTGTAATAGCGGCCGGTACGTTTCAAAAAAAAAGTAATACCGGCCGGCACGCCAGGATAGAAGAAGAAATCACTGACCTAACTAATTTAATCTAAATCATGAAATTGCTGCTGCCTGGTGTAGACCAGTAACGCGTATGATAGAAATCAACGAAGGAGAGACTGACCGTAGGATTTTCTTGAGCATCGCCACTGTCGCCGGAGGCGGACGAAACCTGCCTGCTTCGGCCGTCGCCGTCGATCAGGATCGGTTACGCAGTGCCGTATGCG